TTAAAAGAAAAACCCCATTTGATAAACCTGTACAGCATTTGGATAATTAGTAAACTGTTTTAACAATATGTGTATGCGTATAATACTTAATATTTGAGATTATGAAAGCTTGCAGCAAACCAAATTTAAATTAAACAAATTTTGTATTTCTCTTCTTTTCCTCCCCCCTGCAAAACGTTACAATTCCTTGGGCTGTGCGCTGTCATGTGCAAAAAAAGCAGGCAGTTTTTTATTATATTATATTATTATTTTTTTTTAATTCACTGCAGTTGGGCAGGCAAAACTGGCTTCTACTTTAAGTAATTTGTAGTTTTAAATTAAGTTTTTATAAAACTTGTATGTATTTTATTGTGTGTGTGTGTGTGTATGTGTGTGTGCGTGTAGAAAATGTGTGTGCATGTGTGTTACTTAGGATTGACAAGAACCAAAAACATTATGCTATTCAAATTGTAGTTGAATTTCCATTATTTGTTTGCATCTGCTTAAACAATAAAACAGTTTCCTTACACCTAACAAGTAAATCAATTAAACAATTAAACATATTAAACATAAAACATTAAAATTTTAAACACTTCAGATTTGATCGTAGCTTAGGCCTTAATGCAAAACAAAAAAAAAAAAAATAAATCAAATGCTTCAAAATAAAGTTTTCAATTGAATAAAGAAGTTTGTTCTGCTGTAAATAAAAATCTTAAATGGCCTTTCTGTTTGCCCAATGCTCAGCACTGCAGCCTAGAGATTATCCAATATTTGGCGCCTACATGCCAAAGAGACCCTTGAGATCGTCGATGGACAGCTTGGTGCTGACCTTGCCGGTCAGCACACCGTCGGCCAGCTCCAGCTTGCGATCCTGCAGCGCCTTGATGCGCTGCTCCACGGTGTCCAGGCATACAATCTTATATATGATGACATCCTTTTTTTGGCCCACACGATATATGCGATCCTGCGCCTGTGCCTCCAACTGTGGATTCCAGTGCAGATCGAGCAGTATTAAATGATTGGCACCAATTAGATTGAGGCCAACGCCGCCAGCTGTTAAGGAGAGCAACAGAATGCGCTTGGGATTGCGTTCATCGTTGAAATCATTAACAATGTCCTGGCGATTCTTTACAGGTATGGCGCCGTTTAGCGACAAGGTCTGCAGCCTCTCCTTTTCCAAGAGATCACGCAAAATATCCAGCACCGATGTCCACTGGGACACTACGATAGCTTTGTCCTTGGACTTCAGCACGTTGGTCTTAAGTATCTCTAGCACTTTTAGCATTTTGCTGGACGGACGCTTGAGATTAAACACCGGATTGCTACGCTTGAGCACATTCTGGGAGGCCTTGGCCAGACGCACCTCATCGCTGCTGTGTCTGCCGTTGCTGGAACGGCGCGAGCTGCTGGAACCGGAGCTATCATTAATAGTCATCTTATTTAGCTGAGCCAGCAAATCGATTTCGGGTGAATAGCTATCGCTGTCATCATGTCCCAAATTGCCAGCGCCCTCCTCCTCCAACATCTACAAAAAATAATCAAGGAATTAGGTTGTTTCAAAGAGGCGTATATATGTATAGCTTTAATGTATACCGAATCTATGAGTCCGGGATGACAGCAAATTTGTCGGAGACGCAGCAGCAGCACCAGTATCTCATGGGATTTCACCTCCTTGCTGTGCCCGGCCATGCGCGAGAATTTCTCGTGCATTTTATAGTAAGCACCATTGGGATCTTTGATCTGATTATAGGTGGGCTTGCGAGCATCGTTGATGAAATTGGCATCCGAATCCTTTTCGGCACGCTGGAACAGAAACTGTGCGAACAGGGTTTGCGAGAAGGCCATCACCTTCTGGTACACATTCATTTCGTCCGTATCGAGATTCATTTCAATCAAGCGTATCTCCTTTTTGGGCAAACTGTTCAGTTTGCCATCCAGCTGCAGCTGGGCCTTGGTCCGCCGCAGCATTAGGGACTTCATCAGCAAATTAAGCCGATCCTGTCCACCGGCACTCTTGTTATCGATCCACTTCTTCCACGTGGCCAAATCATCAAAGGGCGAGCAGCGCAGAAACTTAAGCAGCGCATAAACGTCCAGCTCCTTATTCTGAATTGGAGTGCCCGTCAGGGCCCAGCGATATTTACCGCGCAGCTCGCTAACAGCCATCGATGACTGCGCCTTGTGGTTGCGCACCACATGCGCCTCATCCAATATGATACGGCGCCACTTTACGCCATGCAATGCTCCATTCATCTTGTGCTCCCTAGAGACAATGTTGTAGGTGGTCACCACCATGTCATAGGTACGTAGATTCTTGCCCTTGGTCTCGCGTTGGTTACCGTGATGCACGCAGACCGTCAGACGATGGCGCGACAACTTGGAGGCGACTTCACCCTCCCACTGGCGCAGCAAACTGGCGGGGCAAACCACCAGGGTGCCACCTTTGTAAGCTGCAGAACACAAAAATCAGTTGAAAACCAAGAAGCAAAGGTGCTATTCAGCTTGCCGAAGATTAAATACCCTTGCAGACATCGACATGGCTAAGACTAAGAGGATTCGAAGATGTCCGCTTGGCTATGGGATACTTACTATCCTTTCGTCCCTTGGAAGTCCAACCGCCAACGCTTTTGCGCTTTTTGCCCGGATCGTCCTCATCGTCGCTGCTTGCAGATTCAGCGCCAGCGCCGCTCTCCTGCCCATTTTTACCAGCCAGCACCAGGGCAATCATAGTCAGCGTTTTGCCCAGGCCCATGTCATCGGCCAAGATGCCACCGCGTGGACGCTGCTGTTCGCGCCAGGACATCCAGGCCAGCGCATGCCTCTGATGGTCCATAAGCTGCACCTTCAACCCATTGGGTTCATCTGCCATCACATACTCCGCCGGACAGCCCTTTAACGAGCCATGCAAATCCTACAAAGTACAAGAGCATATGAGAGACACATTCGAAAAGGCAACTGAGCAAGGCCAGAGGGACGCTGGTTCAGACGTGTGTGTGTGGTTTTTAATCAGCGCGTGCTCGTGAAACACGCCCGCACAGTAACTCGTGCCTGGGCGCCAACAGAGGCAGCACGCAGCTCAGATATCCATTCTAGAAGAGCTCATCATGCAAGCAGCTTGTGAGGCTTAGCTGCAGAATGAAGCAGTCGGTACGCACCTTGAGGGAATCAATTGTGAGCGCTTTCATGGCGTTGAACGCCGCCAAGCCTTTGGCGCCTGTGTGTGTGGGCTGTATTTGATTGACCGCTGCGGACAGCTGGTCCCAGTCGGGCGCCTCGGGATTTGTGGATTTACGTGAATTGGAGGCACGCGGCTTGGAGACCTTAATTTGTGGCTTCTCCTGCTGCACAATGAGACCGGACAGATATTTTTGCTTAATTTCTATGTCCTGACGCAGTGCATCGATGCGCTTCTTGATCTGTATGCCCTTGTCGGGCAGCTTGTGGGCCACCTTCTCGTACAGCTTCTCCGCCTCATTCAACTGGACGTGCATTTCGGTTACTTTGCGCGACTCCTTTTCGTAGAATTCAGGCGAAACCTGCTGGCCCTTCACGTTAGAGCGCCGTGGCGATTGCTTCTTAATGGCCGCATTAATGGTCGGCTGTATTAATTTATTGCCGGATCGGACCCTGGGTGCCTCGGAGCTGCTGCGTGGCGAAAAGCCGCGCGATTTGCGGCCATATGCCGAAGCGCCCGAAGCATTTTCCCTATTGTAACTGTCATCGTTGTCGGTGCTGCTGCTGATCTCAATGGGCGTCTCCTTGTTGCTCAAGATGAGCACATCGCTGCCAGATGAATCGTTATTCGGCGACTTCGGCAGCTGCAGCTGTTGCTGCTCATTGGGAAAGAGCGTCGAGTGCAAAGTGTCCTCAATGCTGGTCGCAAATTGTGTGCTGTAACGTGGCGAGTGCAGGCCATCGATGGTGGCTCGGCGATAACGCTCCGCAGCAGCCTGCTCGCGCTCCACATCCTCGTCATATGTCTCATCCGCTTGATCGCTGTTGCTGAGGCTTGACTGCTCCTGCCGAGACTGCGGCTGCCGCTCCTCTTCGTCGCTGTAGTCAATCTCACTGGAGCCGTCGCTCATATCGTCCGGCCGCACACCCGTGATGCTCATGCGCGTGCGCGGCGACAGGGCGCGCTGATCCAGCTCGTCCTCCTCATCGCTCTCTGAATAAATCACGGCATCGCGGCGGCCGCGGGCTCGCTGGCCATTTTTAACTGGTTGACGCACGCTTGAACCATCGGAATCCGTATTCGACTCCTCGACAGTTAGATTGCTGACGACGCTGCGACGGCTGGCGCCAGAGGCACGGCCAGTGCTGGCGCTGCCACGACTGGAGGAGCGTCCTTGTGTATTGTACAATTTATTTCCATGTTGATTTTGATTATAATTACCAGTATTTATTAGTTTACTCACCCGATGTTGTATTGCTGACGACTTCCCCCTCTTCGTCGCCGTAGAACTCGTCGCTTTCACTCGACATTTATGCAATTTTCTTAACCCTTTCAACAAAATTCAAGCAGCACACAACAATTTGGGCGCCAGTTAATTTCAACAATGTAGCTGTAAATGTTGCCGCTCTTTGGGTTTTAGCGATCTGGTCACACAGTAGGCATGCAACCAAACGTACTGTATTGTTGTTGTAACAGTGCTGCCAGAAAACAATAAGCGATAATAATAACATACAGTCTTGTAAATAAACAGCCTACTTTTGTGTCAGAGTTGCCACGTATCAAAAACCGATAGCTCGATAAAAGTGGTTTTAGAAGCCCTTAAGCGTCGCGGCCACACTTCATTTAAAATACAGTTATATTTAAATCAAATAATTGTTTCTTAACGAATAGGCATTTAGTCACGCGGTAATGTATTGCTGTTGTTATAATGCGATAACAAACACTCTGGCTTGCGAGCAGCCTGTTGTAACTGTTTTGCAAGCATTGGTTTGGTTTTAGTTTTATTAGCGTTTGTACCCTACGGGACAACTGCATTTCGAATGCATGTTTATTTAAATGCAATAGCTACTTGGACCGTATAGAATTTACTGTAAATTTAATAAAAAATTCGTATTTTAACATAGCGGAAAATGGAAATTAGTGTGCATATATAGAGCTGCCGGTTTGAAGGTCCCATTGCTCACTTCTTGACGATGTTATTGACGGCACATACAATATTTCGAGCAGAGATGCCGAACATGTCGATCAGAACGGCCGGTGGTCCAGAGCGTGGCACCGTGGGCACAAACAGATGCTTCACCACGAAATTGCGATGCTCGGCGAGAGCGCTGAGCACAGCCTCGCCCAGACCGCCTTGCCTGCATGGGAGTAAACAAAAGATAAAGCCATTTAGTCTGACAGGAAGCCAATCTGGGGGTTTCACTTACTGGTAATGATCTTCGACGACAACCACACGGCCGCCGCACTGCTTCCCATGCTCCAAAATCAGCTCCACGTCGAGTGGCTTCACCGTGAAGGGATCGATGACACGCGCCGTGATGCACTCCTTCTCCAACTGCTCGGCGGCGGACAGGCACTCGTACAGTGTGATGCCGGCTCCAATGAGCAGCACCTCATCGGAGGGCTTTTGGCGCACCACCTTGCCGCGTCCAACGACAAAGTTCTCATCGTTGTTGTAGATGACGCACGTATTGGGACGCGAGGTACGTATAAAGCACACGCCCTTTGTATTGGCGGCCAGCTCAACGGCACGCTCGGTGCTCACCGCATCCGAGGGATAGAAGACGGTGCTGCCGGGAATAGTGCGGAACAAGGCAATATCCTCCAGGCCCATCTGTGAGGGACCGTCCTCGCCAATGCTGCAGCCACAGTGGGATCCCACAAAGTTCACGTTCGTCTGCGAGATGGCGCCCATGCGTATCTGATCGAAAGCGCGCGTAAAGAACGTGGCAAACGTTGAGGCAAAGGCCACGGTACGGCGACGGCAGGCGGCACCAATGGCCACGCCCACCAGATTCTGTTCGGCAATGAAGCATTCGATATAACGTTCTGGATAGGCATTGCGCAGCTTATCGGAGAACGTAGAGTTCTTGGTATCGCCATCGAGGGCAATCACACGATCGTTGTCGGCGCCAATCTTGGCCAGCGCTGTGCCGTAGGCCAGGCGTGTGGCCACCGCATCGCCCAGCTTGTAGTTGGGGGGTGCGCACAGCTTAATATTATTGATGTCCACTTCGGGCGCCTGGCCCGATTTGCACATTTTTTTGGGCGTCAGCTTGACGTTCGGATTGACAATCTGGCTCTGCAGATGCTTGATGACGGCGGGCGCCTTGTCGCCCAAAGGCTTGCCATGCCAGTTGTCCAGATCCTCAATGTCCGGAAAGTCCTTGCCCTTGAACGTCTTGGCAATGATGGCCGTGGGCTTGCTCTTCGTGCTTGCCGCACAGTGCAGCGCCTTGCACAGCTCCTCGATATCGTGGCCATCCACGACGAGCGCATTGAAGCCGAACGCCTCCAAACGATCCCGGTAGACATCCATTTTGTGCTGCAGCGAGGTGGGCTCCGACTGGCCCAGCCTGTTCACATCAAAGATCACGCACAGATTGTCCAGGCCATAGTGGGCGGCAAAGTGCAGCGACTCCCAGACGGAGCCCTCGGCGGATTCGCCATCGCCCACAATCACATAGGTGCGATAGTCGGCCTTATCGAAATTTTTGCCCACATACGCCATGCCAGCGCCCACGGCGACGCCCTGGCCTAGAGATCCGGTGCCGACATCTATGAAATTCAGACGCGGCGTCGGATGACCCTCCAGATCGCTGTCGATCTTGCGCAAGTTCTTCAGCTCGTCCACGGGAAACAAGCCCGCCTCTGCCCAGGCGGCATACAAAATGGGGGCCGCATGACCCTTGGACAGGATCAGACGATCGCTGGAGGGATCACGGGGATGCTTCATGTTCAAACGCATCTGCTGGAAGAACAGCACGGACATGATCTCGGCAAGAGAACTGCATGATGTTGGGTGACTGCAAGAGTAGCACAGCGAATAGAGACAAGATTAATTTAAGGATTCAACAGCACTGCGTAATAAGAATGGGATATACGAAAAAACATATATCGGAATAGAATATGTATGTACAGTATGTATGTACACTATTTATTATTTATTATTTTTGTTGATCTGGAAATCATACGATCATGTTCATAGCCCTAAAATTGTTCATATAAATAAATCCGATATGCTGTGAAAACTCTGCAACCAAAGTGGAGGCTCGTCTTACAGACCACATTTGTATACATTACACACATACATTCATGTATCTATATGTATAAATGGACCTTATCGCAGAGACGTTTTGTATACATGTATGTACATATGTATGTACATTTTGACATAGAAACCAGTTGGCCGTTTTTTAGTCTCAAATATGCACGTTCTGCAGAAATAGATCTGGGCACACAAACTTTTTGCATGGATTTGTAGGGGGGCCCTTGGCGACGCCCTTTGCTCAGTAAAGAACTATTGAAGGTTATGTCGAATGGGAATGCTCTAGCCGGTCACCTCTATATAGTTTGTAATCGGTCATATCTTTAGCTGTAGCTCTCTCTCTACCAAGCAACTGTAGGTTATCTGCTTACCAGGGGGGGGGGGGGGGGGGGGGGGTAATAGAAATGTCACTACCAAACACATACTAACGCATGTGCATGTTGAGAGTGGCTTATCAGTAAAATGGAAAAGTGAGATGCGGTCCAATTGGGCTAAAATGCATTGAAATAGTTGATGATAAGCCCGTACTTTAACTGTTCAGCTTATCGTGCATTTAGTTTAATTAGTTACCCCTCATAAAGGTCATAAAAAAGTCAGAGCGTGGTAGCGATTTTGCGGCCATTAAAAATGATGTTTGTGTTGTTTTCTGTTGTTGCCGTTATTGCTATAATGCGTTGCCAACTGGCCGCAAAATTCTGAGCTTTTGAACACTAAACTTCGTAGCGCCGCTGCGACGCCTCACGCACATGCATACATACGTGGATGTGTGTGCCTAAAACTGGATATGCTGTTTTTACTGAATAAGCTACATTTGTCAAGGTCAGTAAAGGTTAATTAACAACTTTGCAAATTAACGACCAAATCATTAATCGCAGTTTTTCTACAAGAATTGGAATTCGCATGCAAACGCACAAACACTTAAACGCGCACACATACTTAATGTGCATGTGTGCGTGTATGCAGGGCAATAAATAAATGTGCTTTTTTAGAACGGCGTTGCATTGAAAAAAACACGTGGCCTGGCAGCCTTAAGCCGGGGGGTCACCTTTGCCGGCCCAAGAGTCGCTCGAGCGTGCAAGGCACACAACTTTTCCTAAGGTGACTGTATGCTTACCCCGATTTGGAGGCCTGGGTTGAGTTGATGGAATCAATACGCAACTTGTGCGCAATATCTTTCAAATCCTGAACAGTCTTGGCTTCCGGCTTGTGATACGCCATACTGAGTACGATACGCGTCGGTGTTGGCTTAAGTGGTGACCTTGAGTTGTTGCCTGTTAACCAAAGGGTGGCGCTTCTATTTTTGCAAACGGCGGACCAAAATAATGCCGTATTGGTAGTTTAAGATTCCTTGGCACAAAAGCGGTCAACAACAATGAACTCGTGCATCCGGCGATTGGAACTAAACTGCCACCGCTGTTAATTTTGCTTTGTATGGGCGCAATTCTGTCTGCCTGTGGCGACGTTGACGTCGCAGTCGTTGGCACACCAAATAAAAGCTTTAAAGTTGAAGAAGCGATGAAACGGCTTGGTTTGCTTGCTGCTAGAACGAGATAAGAATAGGTACATTTAGTTTGATGTGCTTTTAAGCCCACATCTCACTCTACAGCACGAGCAGTGAGGTACATTATTCGATTCGCATGCGCAAGTTATTTTAAAACAGAAGATAACTCAATGGTAAGCGCTTTTACAGTACGCCTTGAAATAAGACATTGGTCGCCCAACATATGCGCCTTCGATAGCTCAGTTGGTAGAGCGGTGGACTGTAGTATGGCCCTTATAGTAGTATAGACATCCATAGGTCGCTGGTTCAAATCCGGCTCGAAGGAATTAACTTTTTCCTGTTTATTTTTTATAAAAGTACCTTTTTACAGTGTTGAACATACGAATATACTAAAATTTTGCTTAACGTTGATCGCATTTAGTTTAAAATAAAAAATATTAAAACAGATGATTTGCTGCAGGCGTAATCTAAGAAACTGATTTATAGCAAATAGATGTTTGGAAGTCGAACTAAATAAAAATGCCAACTTGATGAAAAAAAAAAAAAAAAACAAATAAAAAGCAACAAAAATGATAAATCCTTCGAGCCGGATTTGAACCAGCGACCTATGGATGTCTACATTGTAATTTCCGTGCTACAGTCCACCGCTCTACCAACTGAGCTATCGAAGGCGCATGGACGGACGGAGCTTATATGCACATTGATTGGGGCACCGTTGAGGCGGACAATTGTGTGTGTCAACAAATGGGGGGAAAAAAAAACGCATTCTGGCAATTTAGCGTGTAGATTTATTCTCGGATGCGCACAAGTTGAAATAATTATAAATAAATACAAATAAATATATTTATGTAATCTCTTTTGGATATACATAAAATGTTGTAATATCATTTGTTGTCTGTTTTAGTTGTCCTAGTATAGATTTAACTAATGCATAATTTAGTTAGCAAAATAGTTAACGTTAACAATACATAGTTACATTAAAATTTACACTTTGTTTTGTCTTTTGGTATCAATTTCATTAAAGACTTGCAGCAGCTCTTTGTTCGAAAAACTTGATGATAATGGTTTTCGTAAGTCAAGACAAAATTCGACTATATTAAATATGAATCTATAAAAATAGGCATATGTTTTACGGTCTAAACAATTTTCGTTACGATTTTCTTTTGTGCACAATCAATTTTTACTCACGATTAACAACATTATAATGAAAGCTGCTTAGCGTGCACAGAGATTGTATTCTGTTTTTTTTTTTTAATTTGTATTCAAATATGTTAACATTATATATTTATGTATAAAGTTTTATTTTCTTGATATTTTACAGGCGGATTTACTAGAAGCTGTTTACAAAATAAATAAATGAATGCTGTGTGGAATTTGATAAGAAAAAGCAATAACAAAAATCTTGTATAATTAAACAAATGCACAATGAACCTTAAACACAAAGGAAAAATACACAAAACGTGATATCACTAGCTAAAAAGTCGACGCAAAGAAGCGATAAATAAAAGCGCTAATAAGAAACGTAACGCACGTAAATTATAATACAAAAACGAAATTATTATCGTTGCTCGGCTCAGTCCAGTGCAATGCCCTGCATCCAGGCGCTCAAATCGCTACCATCGGATTCCATGATTATCTCGTCGGGTTCGTCATTCGCCAGCAAGTACTGTGCCGCTGTCCGTCCGCTTAAGTAGGCGCCATGTACGGTGGAGTAAAAGCTGGAATGTGTGTGCTCGCCGGCAAACACAATGGCAGGCTGTCAAGGGACATTGAGTAAGAAATTGGAGAAATTATAATTTTCAAAGCTACAGAGCTGTGGACGCTCACCTTCGTGGCCTGCGGCGTCGCATACAGCGGCTGGGCCAGGTTCTCGATGTCCTCCTGCGTGGCACCCACGGGTATTGAGGTGTATGCGCCACCCGTATAGGTTTGTGTTTTCCAACTGGTGCTAAATACAAAAACAGTTAGCCGTATTGGAATAAGACAGGATCAATTCTACTTACCATACACACGTCTTGGGCTTGGGCACGTAGGGATCCTGCAGAAAATTGCGCAGAATTTCAGTGCATTTTTCAGCGACTGCCTCGTTTGGCAACGTTTCCATATACTCGGCTTCGCGACCCGATACCCAGCCCAGCAGTAGTGTGTCCGTAATCTTAGCAAACGAGTAGATCTTCTTAAACCAGTTCTTGCTAAGATAAGCCTCTGTAGCGCGATCCTCCTCGCTGACAGCGTCCTGCTTCTCATCATCCCAGAGCAGCATCACCTCTGATATGGCCGCACTGAGAAATGGTCGCTCGTAGACCAGAAAGATTTTGTCCACAGTGCCGAACATGAGATTCTCAATTGATTCCTGTTTATACTGCGGCAGCTCCGGATCGAAGAGCGTTCGGTGCGTATGCTTCAGCACGCCCAGCGGTATGGTGCATATCACATGCGCCGCATGGAAAACACGTCCGTTCTCGCAATCGACGCGAACAGAACCCTCGGGCGCATAATCACAATTGCTGCTGCCATTCGACTCCACGGAGGCGCCACGCAAGGCGGCGCTAGCTGCTGTGGGCACTTCCGTGACGGTCTTCTGCGAATCATCGGAATCCTCATTCTCCGAGTTTTCATCAACGGTTTCCAGCCCGGTGAATGTCTTTTTTCGTTTCCAGTGTATCTTCTTTACCGGGCACTTGGTCATGATGGACTCCTTGGAAATCTGCGCGCTCAGCGGACGCAGTATGGAACTGTAGCCAGCGGGCAGCACAATATTGCCGCCCTGCAGTTCCGTATAGCTTCCTGCAAGCAAAAGTCAACAACAATTTTTAATATACTTGAAACCGCACCAAGCACAGAATTGCTGCTCACCTAGTTCCAGCAAGTCCACCTCGTTCATGTTGTGGCAGCCCGTGATGCAGGTCTCGCGCTTGAGCAGGCAATTGAATATCAATTGCTTCAGGCGCTTCTCCTTGGGATCCTGCACGGAGCTCAGGTAGATCTGAATCTCATAGTTGATGTGCTCCCCCACGCTGTTAATGTCCGGCGGTGGGCTGTACTGACACAGGAAATACTCATCACAGCGGCGTAGAAAACAGACGTACGCCTCGTAGATCTCCTGCAGTATGCTGAAAGGAACCTGATGACCATCCTCGGTGGTGGCCACCACTTTGTGCGGCTTTGGTACGTTCACAACGCTGACTAGACCATGCTGCACGGCTATCTCAAATATCGGATTGCCCAGCACGCCGTGTATCCAATTGGCGCCCAGTTCCACCTGCGGAGATATATGAAAGAAAATAAATGAAAATACGGTCAAAATATGATCAGTGGAAAACCCACAACAGGGGTATTCACCACTAAAATGTTGTATATTCTTTTCTGATTATTTTTAAATAGTTGCGGATTTTAAATAATTTCATATATATTTCAACATTTTATTTTGACCGATTTATATAGAGCTCTATGACTACTGAACACCCCTAATAACATAATGTTACTCCTCCTACTTCTTCTAGCTACTAAATATGTGACAGTGTCTGTGTCTTAATAAATTAATAGATAAAATATATACCACTTTCCATTAAGCCTGATAAGAACTGACCTATATGATATATATAAGTTAGTTATAAGATAATTCTTGGCATTGACGACTTGCTCGTTAAGCAAATGTGATGTATTTAAATCCCAATTTTAGGTTTTTTATAATTTAATTAAACCATTTTTAAACTGTCTACGTGATTGTTAACCCGTCGCTGAATGCAACGCCCCCTTTACGTCATAATTGGAATAGCTAATCTTATCTAGAAATTAGTCAATTGTATAACAATCGGGAAAGGGCAATGCTCGTGCCAGAACAGAGCTGGGTGGCTTGGTAGTTGCCACTTTTGGCTAAAAAAAAATATGCACCAAATAAAAATGCGAAAGGTGGCAAGGGCAAGGACACGCAAGAGGCATTCAAAATGTGGGGACGAAAAAAAAAATTATTTTGATTTTTAAATGTATTTAAAGCTTTAACTTTAAATTAAATGTCTATAATTTTGTATATTTTATTTACTAATATATGAACATGCGGCAGGTTGTGCGGTGCGTTGAAAAATCTATAATTTTATATTTTTGTCCGAGCCAAAAAAAAAAACTCGTCGCTCAAAAGCAGTAAATGGACAAAAATACCAACACACTCTGCCTATAACCCTGCTACCCTATGCGGTTGCCGACAAAACATATTGCTTACATAATGCGCCACAATACCTTTTGATTATTGCCGAGCGGTATGGACACAATACGCCCACCCACCCGACCGCGCGCTTCCACAATGAGAAAATCATCGCAACCGTTTTGCAATAGATGATTGGCAGCGGATAGACCAGCCATTCCAGCGCCAATTATCAAAACCTTCACATTTGTGCTGCCGCTCTGTGTGCTGCCTGTGCCGCCGCTGGATGCAGCGGCACCATCGTCGGCGACGCGGCCAACCGCCGCAGCCGCAGCCGCAGCTGCTGCAGCCGTTGCTGCCATATCGGCGAGACCCTCTTCTGTGGGCGATGGTGCAGGCGTTTTTGGCTCCTTGTCAGCCATGTTGCTTTGTTTCACATATGCAAATAAATTTTGCTTTTTATTAATCACTTTTAGTGTTTTGCGTTTGTATTTTTATTCCTCATAGCATTTCGGTAGAACTTTATTTTGTAACGCGACGGCCACGAACTGTTTTGACGTTTAGCTGACAGCGACTGTGAGCATGGTTGAGTTAGGTGGTGGAGGCGGCGAGGTTGCGCAGCTATTTGGAGCAGCGACAATGCGCCGGCATGCTGTTGAAAAGCAACGTTAATATACTTAAATAGAAACAAACAAACTATTACTGCATTAAGAATATTATTTTACATTTATTTATGCTTTTTGCGACAAAACAACTATAACAGCTGTGCATGGCCAAGATGCCAGCCAGTCGTTGAATGTAAATAAGTTGCTGGTGCTGCCAGACCATGCAACGGCAACGTGCTGGCAGCACTAAACTAACATCTGTAAGAGTTGCATCCTTGTTTTTGTTGTTTTTTCTGTTAACAGTTAAAATGCATAAATAATAAACGAATAATAACAAATAAACCGAGTAGTTCGCCAGTTAAGAATGCGAGCAATATAAATACACTCGTATCAACCAGCAACAACAAGCAGCAAAATGACCGACGCCTACTGTCTGTCCAATTTTATTGATTTTTCACAGCATTTGTCACAGCCGCTGAGGCACAGCAATCGGATCAAGGTAACAACAAATTGTTGTAATTTAATACAAAATGGTAACTGGTATTTGTTTCTCTATTTCATAGTATACCTGCTTTGATATCTCTGACAACTACATTATCTTTGGTGCCACCTCGGGTTCGCTGTACTTTTTCAATCGTGGCGGCAAGTTTATGCACCTGATCCCAAACAAACATGGCCCCGTCACACACCTGAGCATCTCGGCCAACAACAAGTATGTGGCCTTTGCCACCCAACGCTCGCTCATCTGTGTGTATGCGGTGAATCTCTCTGCCCAGGCCGCGCCCCAGGTGATTGTTACGCATCTGAGCACCGATCAGTCGGTGCAGGTGAGCTGTATCCACTGGACGCCGGATGAGAAGCAATTCTACTATGGCGATACGCGTGGCCAGGTAAACCTGGTGCTGCTCTCGTCCTTTATAGGGCACAGTCTGCTGTTTAACATGACCGTGCATCCGCTTCTGTATTTGGATGCGCCTGTCGTGCAGATCGATGACTTTGAATCTCTGCTCCTGGTATCCAACAGCACCAAGTGTATTCTATGCAACACCGAGTACGAGGAATACAAGCAGGTAAACCAGCACAAATTTAACTAGCTTAGTTCTTTTTATACCTAATATGGCTTTTGCCCGCAGATCGGTAACCGTCCACGTGATGGCGCGTTCGGCGCCTGCTTCTTTATATCGCCCCACGAATCGCTGCAGCCGTCGCGCATTTACTGTGCCCGTCCGGGTACACGGATCTGGGAGGTTGATTTCGAGGGTGAGGTGGTACAAACACACCAGTTTAAGAGCGCACTGGCCACCGCACCCGCCAAGATACTCAGGCCTAGCGAGAGCGAGGCATTCGATGAGGAAGATGCCGATGCACTGGAGGCCAACGATGAGCTGCTAAACTATCAGCCGCAGCAGCTGCAGTTCGCCAAACTACAACGTCTGGGCCAGAACTTTCTGCTGGCCTACACCGAACTGGGCCTGTACATATTCGATGTGCGCCACTCAACGGTGGTGCTCTGGTGCAATCAGTTCGAGCGCATTGTGGACTGCCGCGTTGCCGGCGCCGACATCTTTGTCTTCACGCAAACAGGCTCTCTGTACAGCGTGCAGCTGCAGACGCTGGAGGCGCACGCTATCTCGCTAATGCAGCTGTCAAAGCTGCCGCAATGCGCCCGGCTGTTGCGCCAGCACGTCAAATACTTTGCCGACAAGGCGCGCGAACATGACGAGCTGAAGCAGCTTAACCAGCTAAAGCAGCTGTTGATTGAACGGCAGCAGTACGAGCTTCTTAACGATATATCCGTGATCTTTGATGCCATTGCCCAGTGCACGGGCAGCGCACTGGACACACAAAGCTCCGGCGGCAGCTCGGCGACAACAGAGCGCAGCGCTAGCTTGAGTACGGTGGGAATTGGAGGAGGAGGAGGAATTGGAGGAATTGGCGCCGGCAGCACGGCTCCGACCAAAGGCGTCTATGTGCTGGAGAATGCCTTTTGCGATAATCTGAAGCAGCCACCCAAGTCGGGACACTTCAAGGATGCATTGCTCACAGTCACCGGCAAATTTGGCAAGAACATCATCAAGTACAAGTTCAACATATTCGCCGAGGAACAGCAGCAGCAGCTGGTGCGCGAGCTAATACCCGCTAGTGAGCGTTCCCAACCCTTTAAGGATATCAAAGCACGCTACGAGACGCCGGACGAGGATGAGGAAATTGTCTGCCGCAGCCGGAAGCGTGCCACTGTCGCCACGACCCCCACGCCGCACATCAGTCCGGAGGAGAAGACCATCTACAACCTGTACTTGATACACAAGGGCGCCAAGTTCAGTCGCACCCACTGCGTGGAGCGCTATCGTGCTGTCTTCGATCAGTATGCGGCTAGCGAGCTGATGCAGCTGCTGGCCAGACTTGGGCAGGTTATGCTGGAGCATGGCGACAGCCAGGAGCAGGCGCAACGCAACTGCTACGAGATGTATTTCAACTATCTGAATCCGGAGTTAATCTGGGAAATGGATGATGCCACACGCGATTATATAGCCAGCGGCTTGGCCCTGCTTAATTCCGGCATGGAAATTGTCCGCTGCAGCCATTGCAATTTCCCGCTCCGCTTCCAAAATGCATGCCAATACCACGAGCTGGGCGCGGTTTTGCTGCGTTACTTTTGGTCACGGCACGAGCAGCTCAAGTGCTTCGATGTGCTGCAATCGGTGCCGGCGCTGCTCGATGTGCTGGCCAAATTCTATTTGGCCGAGCACAATCTGGACAAAGTGCTGCCCATTGTCTTCAACTATGGCGCCGTCGAACTGCTGCAGGATGTGGGCAGGCAGCTCAATGGCGCCGCCTGGGCGCGCTGCTTTGAGCAGTTTGTGGAGCTGCAACGGGGACGTTTGGTCTGCGTCAACTGTGAGTGCGTCAGCACCGTGGAGCTGGAGCAGCTGTCGCGGCACTATTTCTACACATGGAACTGTTTTCTTAACATTGCGCTGGATCATCTAACGGCCAGCGAGACGCTGGCACTGATCTTTAAGTGGAGCTCGTATATACCCAGCGATGCGATCGATCGTGAATTCTATAAACGTTGCCTGCTCAAGGGCTGAATGTTAGTGTTGCCCATTAAGCTATTTTCTAGCTAAATTGAGCTATTTACGAGTTCGTTAGTCAGAAAACGTTGAAAAATTTTACTTATTTAGCTTTTTCACATCTGGCAACCCTGTTATTTGCCAATTCTAGTTTGAAAAAACGAATTCAGCTTTACTTTTGGCTATTTCTCACATTGACCTACGGCTACTTTGTGAAGCTGCAGATGGCAACATTAGTTATGTTATATATACACACATATATATATATTTAAAGGTATATAAAGATATTTATTGTTGGAAAGCAGGCAACTTGCAACATTCCCAGCACATGCTCCTAATTATAAACTTTAGCTAAAGCTATAGCCAAAATACCAAAAGCATTTATTCTATATAAACGTATATTAAAACAAGATATATTTACATGTATGTATGTCTACCAGCTGTATGTGTTTGTGCGTTAATAATAAATACAACAACATTGTATACTTCCTTGAATTTCGCTTCAAATTTTCGAAGCCTAAAAATTAAATAGTCAACACATGCACATAACACAACAAGTTTTGGCATAAATCATACAAAATTTCAACTGCAAAGCAAGCATTTCTCAAAACAAACAACGTTAGCCCCAACAGAGCGAAGTGATCCATCTAAGTGTTTAAAGTTGTTCAAGGTTCTCTTAAAAAAAGAGTTGTTGTATAAAAGGTTGCGAAGATTTAGAAAAGAAAAGCCGGGCAGCTCCAACGGCTGCCAACACTCGATAAGACTATCGATTTACAATTTTTGTAGTGAAGCGTTTACCTCAACAGTCTGGTAACGCATTAAGCAAAGCAGCTCTGTCAAATCAACCCTGTTCACTGCGATAACGATAAGCAACGGCGCTGACTCACGCGCTCCCATCACCAGCTCTCCACCATTTTTCCCGTGTGGCTCGTTTTCGCCGTTGGTGTGGATAAGACACGCGTCTGAAAGCATAAAAAACGCGAAAGCGTATAAAAACCATACATTTTAAGCACAAGCACAATAATAGGCTTGTGATTTTTTGTAGGCACAAGTAGGCCTCGCAAAACATATGAACATTATATAGGTCTCATTGATCGAAGAAACTGATTGTGAAAAGTACAACCTCGCTCTCTCCACATAAGAACGTAGTAGCTTGTGGAACGTAAGAAGTTGTCGGAAAAAAAACCAAAAGAAAAACGTATAGACACGAAGTGCAACACTAACACACAAAAAAGAAAGAAAAACAATTTACATATAATTATTTTTTCGGAAATTGCAAGTGTGCGCAAAATCAAGAACAATTGCAAAATTTTCCTAAACGGAAAGAAAGAAAAAACAAGCAAGTGATTGGAGGATAATATGAGTAATGCTATTAACCAAAATGGCACAGGTCTAGAGCAGCAAGTAAGTATGGTACTTGTGTATGTGTGTGTGAGTGTGAATGTAAAATGTGGTGCGGTGCACAAGAGGGTACATAATGGAAGAAAAAAAAACGTAATGGTAGATTTGTGCATATGTGTGTTAGCTGTGTCAGCTAAAAGTGGTTCTGTGTGTGAGTGTCCATGTGTGAAAGAGTCGGCGGTGCTCATGCGGTCCGCACACGATTATTGAACAGTGTTCAGTGAGGGCTCTGAATTTTTTTTTTATTGATTTCATAACATATAAAACGTCTGACCGTGGAACGCGTTGCGCTTTTACATTTTGCAACGAACGGTGACTCGTGTACGTATAAGTCATATCTGTCTGTGAGTCTGTGTTGGTCTGCTATTTTATTTGTGTGATTTCTTTTGTATAAATTTTAGCTTGCCTCCAATTTGGCATGTTCATTGCTGTGCAAATGTACGTGTATGCGTGCGAGAGTGTTTTTACTTTTGTGTGTGTGCCTGTGTGTAGCCGCAATTCTAAACCAGTGAATGCAAGTGTGTGTGAGCGTGCCAGTTGCGGCGTGCTCTTTGCATTGCTCTCGCTCACGCACGCATGTGGAAGCTGAGTACAATTGTAAACAGGGTTGCCAGACGTGCATGTAATATGTGCGTTGTGAGCCACATTCACAATGCGATAACACCCTGTAAATGATTGTGTGGCGAAAACAAGTTCCACATTGTATAGCTTCCATCTCGACTCTTTCCGCGAAAACTTTGCACTAAGCATGAGTTTTCGCGTGTGTGGGTGGCATCCTATTGTTTTTGTTGTTGCTAGGCCCCTGTCTGTCAAAGCCCCTCAAACTAGTTGCGCTTCTTGTGTGTGAGTGTGACATATACGCGTCGCGCTTCAAATAAAAAACATGTTGCTAACCGGGCATGGCGATGGTATTGTGAGAAGATTGCGACTGTATATGTATATGTATGTGTTCTACCGAAAAACTTGTTATTACAAAGTTCTCTTCGGCAACGGCTTAGAATTCGTTGAACTTGATCGCGTAGATATGTAGTATCTGTGTGTCCGATTCGAGCGTGACACGAAACTCACGTTTGTTTATATTGTTATCAATAAATGTGATTGAAAAAATATGACGTATCAGGGTTTTGAACAGTCACTAGCTGAAATCTCCTACATCTTTGTAGTGTTGCCGACTGTATTTTTTTAAATGTTGCTGACTCTGTTTATAATAGCTAAATGATTATTCAGTACGAATCGGCAATGAGCAGGGTTGCCGCTACTGATTGAGATGCCAAAACAGTTATGAATGTGTGTTTTTTAAATCTTTTTCGTGCCATTGCAGGTTGCTGGTCTGGACTTGAATGGCGGCTCGGCTAACTATAGCGGCCCCATAACAAGCAAGACTTCCACTAATTCGGTCACTGGTGGCGTTTATGTGCCCCCGCATCTTCGAGGTGGTGGTGGCAACAACAACGCGGACTTAGATAATCAGGGCCAGGGCTTTGATTCAGGTGCCGCACCGCGTCTCGAGAACAGGGACCAGCAGCAGCAGCAGCAACGCGGCGGTGAATTTCGCAGAGGCGATCGCGGAGGTAATCGCGGCTACAATCGCCAGAGCGGCGACTACGGAAGTTTTGGAAGCGGAGGCGGCGGCGGCAGCAGACGTGGTGGCAGCAACCGCTACGAGGACAACTATAACGGTAAGCGCTAACCTGATGGGAAGCTTAATATGAGAAAGCTACATTTGGCTGACTAGGCAACACGCGGTTGATGAGATAAGTTGAAAGATTGGGATTGAGAAACTGGGGTTAACATTTTTGGACAAGAGTAGCTCTTAAAGATTCTTTTCCCCATTCGCAGGTGAATTTGACTCGCGCCGCGGCGGCGACTGGAATCGCGGAGGAGGTGGACGCAGCTTTGGGGATCGACGCGGACCGTCGTATCGCGGGGGCGCTGGTGGTGGTAGCGGCGCCGGCGCTGGTGCCGGAGGCAACGGCCTCAACGAACAATCAGAGGAGGCACAGCAGCCACGAAATGATCGTTGGCAGGAGCCGGAGCGCCCGATTGGCTACGATGGCGGCGCCGCTGAAGGCGGCGCACCCGGCGGTGGTGGGGGCGGCGGCGCCGGTGGCGGCAACAGAGGCTACGGCAATCGCGGGGGTAGCGGTGGCGGTCCCTACAACAGTCGCTGGAAGGAGGGCGGTGGCGGGGGCGGCGGAAACACCGATTACACAAAACTGGGTGCACGCGATGAGCGCTTGGAGACGGAGCTCTTTGGTGTGGGCAACACGGGAATCAATTTTGACAAATACGAGGATATACCCGTGGAAGCGACGGGCCAGAACGTGCCGCCGCACATCACATCGTTCGATGATGTGCAGCTGACGGAGATCATACGGAACAATGTGAATCTGGCGCGTTATGATAAACCGACGCCGGTGCAAAAATACGCAATACCAATTATAATCAGCGGACGGGATTTGATGGCCTGTGCCCAGACAGGCTCTGGCAAAACGGCCGCATTTCTTGTGCCCATCCTGAATCAGATGTACGAGCATGGCTTGTCGGCGCCGCCGCAAAGCAATCGGCAATATAGCCGACGCAAGCAGTTCCCGTTGGGCCTGGTGCTGGCGCCGACCCGTGAGCTGGCCACCCAAATCTTTGAGGAGGCCAAAAAGTTCGCCTATCGCTCGCGCATGCGTCCCGCTGTGCTCTATGGAGGCAACAATACCAGCGAACAGATGCGCGAACTGGATCGGGGATGTCATTTGATTGTCGCAACACCCGGGCGACTGGAGGATATGATAACGCGCGGCAAAGTGGGTCTGGAGAATATACGTTTTCTGGTCTTGGATGAGGCCGATCGCATGTTGGACATGGGCTTTGAGCCGCAGATTCGTCGCATTGTCGAACAGTTGAATATGCCGCCGACGGGACAGCGCCAGACGTTGATGTTCTCGGCCACATTCCCCAAACAGATCCAGGAGCTGGCCAGCGATTTTCTCAGCAATTATATATTCTTGGCCGTGGGACGTGTTGGCTCCACATCGGAGAACATAACCCAGACCATATTGTGGGTATACGATCAGGATAAGCGCTCCTATTTGTTAGATCTACTGTCTTCGATCCGGGATGGACCGGAATACTCCAAGGACAATCTGACGCTCATTTTTGTGGAGACAAAAAAGGGTGCCGATTCTCTGGAAGAGTTCCTTTATCAGTGCAATCATCCGGTGACCAGCATACATGGTGATCGTACTCAAAAGGAGCGCGAGGAGGCGTTGCGCTGTTTCCGTTCTGGTGATTGCCCCATTTTGGTGGCCACCGCTGTGGCGGCACGTGGTCTGGACATTCCGCATGTGACACATGTCATTAACTTTGATCTGCCCACCGATGTTGAGGAGTATGTGCATCGCATTGGTCGTACCGGACGTATGGGCAATTTGGGCGTTGCCACATCCTTTTTCAATGACAAAAACCGCAACATTTGCTCCGATCTGCTGGAGTTGCTAATCGAAACGAAACAGGAGATACCCGGCTTTCTTGAGGAGATGCTCAGCTCGGATCGCGGCCATGGTGGCGCCAAGCGACGCGGCGGCGGTGCCGGTTCACGTTACGGCGGCGGCTTTGGCTCACGCGATTATCGTACATCCTCTGGTGGCGGTGGACGCAGCGGCGGCGGTATTGGCGGCGGCGGCGGCGGTCGCAGCACTGGATCCGGCGGTGGCGCCGCCGGTGGTGGTGGCAACTATCGCAGCAATGGCAACTCGTATGGTAAGTTTGGTGAGTGAACTCTACGCACAAATTTCACATACTGTTGTGCATATATTCTGATCATATATTCCGTGTTGTGGCAGGTGGCGGCAGCTCTGGCGGTGGCGCCTACGGCGGCGGTGGCGGCGGCGGTTCATATGGTGGCTCCTACGGCGGCGGTGGCGGTGGTGGTGGCTCGCACTCAAACAACGGGCCCGATTGGTGGGGTCAATGAGCAAGGCCTGTCACCCAGAGGGGCCGGCAGCAGCAGCATCCACAGCGTCCACATAATCCCGACTAGCGTCAATAACAACAACAACAACAACAAAAACAACAACAGAAATAATAACTGGTTAAAACAGCAAGGAGCAGGAGCAAAGCAGGGCAACATTTGATGAACCGATCGACAACAACTTAATTATATATTTGCATATTATATGTATCATCTATATATATACATATATGTATATATATATATCTATATATATATATATATATATATAGGGGCAGCAAATGTGAAAGAGAAACTGTCTGTGCGCAGCGCAACACTCACACTCACGCATTAACACACACACACATACACACACCCATACATACATACACACACACAGACGCACACATTTACAATAGAAAGCATTACAAGTAAAATAAAAAAACTGTTTAAAATTAAATATTCTACATATATACATACATTTGCATGTATGGCTGGAAACAACAAAATTGCAACAAACTATGAATTGTAGTTGACAAAACAAATACACGCGCGCGTAAAACTAGGCTCATAAACAAATAATATTAATTATCATAAACAAACAAATATATAGTTATGCTAGAGCAAAGCGCGAGCCAGAAACATAAGGATTTAATTTAAACAAAAGGGCAATCTGAATTATATTTGTCCAGTAAAAGTGAACTTTTACGCACCCGCCCTCCCTCTCGCATATTTTCTCTTTCAAATATTGAAATCGATATATATATATATATATCTTTATATATAAAAAGAAAACGAAACAAAACTAAGCGATAAGCGATTAACAATTGATAAAGCATGAACTTCAATTGATGATTTTAAAGAAAAAGTATAACTAGTAAAGTTATATATACATATATATATAAATATAAACCACACACAAACACGAAATACAAGAAAATCATTTAAAACCAAAAAAAAAAAACAAGTTTGCTAAAAATAAACTGAATAATTTAGCAAATGGAAAACAGCATTGTTTTATTTTAAGGTTCCAAACCATAAACAAGAATCTACTCATCTTTACACAGACGGAAATACCCTCTTGTATATGTACCCTTGCAAAGGGTATTATAAGTTTGTCATGACGTGTGTAACACACAGGGATGTCGTGAAGTAGAGTATATTATTTGAAAAATGTATAGAAGATATGTATTCTACTTCGTATACCTGTATTTCGAGGCCCCAAAAGAGGAAATCTGGTCAAACGTCGGTTTCAATATATACAAAAAATTAATATATATGTATATCAATCGAGAATTTATTATATTTATCATACATTAAGAAGCCTAGGGTATACAATCTTCAGTTCGCTGTTTCCTGTTATGTTGAGAAGAGAGAGAGTGAGAGCTAACGGTTTTTTGATATTCTGTCCGCGAATCATAGAGAAGTGCATTTCCATATGCGCAGTTGTGTCCAACGTAGTTAATTTAAAATTTCAATAATAAAAAAGAACATTTTCGTGGCGAGCTCGCCCGCTCTTCAATTAACATTAATTCAGCGAAAGCTCGCGCCGGATCGTCGAGCCAATTAGTGTCTGATTAGATTTGGAAAACCTGATTAGGCTGCATTGTTGCGGTGGCTAAATTAAGGAGGAGCTGGCTTCTGCTGCTCTTTCTTTTTTTTCGTTTCTTTGTTTTTGTATCTGTAGTTAAATTGAAGCGTCTGGTTGTTCGCAAAAGCAAAACGTGTGTTTGCTTAGTCGATTGCAAGGTGTATTTATTTTTCGGTCAATTTGAGTTGTTTTCTTCTGCTCTCAGTTGAGGACACATTATGCAGAAGTCACAACGCAGGCAATGCTGGACGCTGCTGCTGCTTGGAGCGCTGATCGTCTCGATCGGGCTCATGTTCAGCTATTGGTATCTGGTGCCGAGCCAGCTGCATTTCTGGCAGCTGTCTATGCTCAATGGCAGCGCATCCGGCGATCCGGCAGCCGCGCAGCTGAAGTTTTTTATGCCGCCGCAGACGGTGCCCAAGGAGCTTAACCTGAAGCGTGGCGCGCCCTACATATATCAGATATTGCATTAGCGTTCATATATATATATATACTTAAACTGTTGTACAATAAATTAAAAGTATATTTAGAGTAATTGGGTGGCTTGGTTAGCATCACAATCACATGGTTGATCTATCTGTGGGTCCACTCAAACGTCCGACTTTTGATTGAGCGCCGCATAGCCCACGGGAATCTCCTTCATTTCGGTTTGCAGGCACAAAAACTCGCCGCCTATGCACATTATCGTTGCGGTAATCACATTAAGCAGCCACCAGGAGGCGTTGGCGGGAAATGAGCGATTGTACCACCAGCAGATGATCAGATGCACCAAATGGAAAGTGCAGCTGCAATAGAGTTGCGTAAGCAAATTGAACATATATACATATGCATATACATATACATATACATATATATATATATACATATATATACTGATATGCAGCTACCTGAAGTCCAGGCACAGCTTGGCGCGGCGAACAATGCACCAGAGCGCCAAGGAGGCCACAAAAGCATTCAACACAAAAGCGCAGATGACCAGACGACCACCCAGATCATAAATATGTATTTCCTGCAAGGAAGAATATTTACACTCAACAAAAACGACGTCCTGCTTAGGCTAACTACATACATGGTATTCGAAAAGGTGATCCAGTGTGTAGTTGTCGCCAGCCAACTTGTTGGCCACAAACACGAGCAGGCCCAGCGAGAAGTATACGCAGCACTGCATGGACACAATTTGGGATGTCAGCAGCGTGGGATCCCATTGTGTGTTACGAAATGTGCCACCTTTCATATTAATAATTATATTTATTGTTATTTATGCTGGCTCATGTGTGCAATTGGTCCAGCTGCAATAACAGAAAGAAAACAAAGACTGACTCATTGGAGTTGATTGGTTCCGTTCATGCCTAGTTCTTTTTAGTTCATGTGTGCGCCGGATCATAACAATGTAGTCAAACTATTTATTTCCAATATACAGTTATGTCAATTCAAACCAAATTCAAACAGTCACAAACTGTATTTTCAGCAGCGTGGATCCCATTGTGTGTTCCGAAATGTGCCACCTTTCATTTGTATATCTTTTATTTATGCTGGCTCTAAAAACAAACAAAGACTGACTCATCATTGGAGTTGATTGGTTCCGTTCATGCCTTATACCTTTTAGCTCAGCTGTGAACCGGCTCGTAACGAATATGTGTAGTCAGTCAAACCATTTGTTCCCAATATGTAGTTATATCAATTCAAACATTTTCATCTCTAATCACACCTTTCTGAATTTGAAAATATAATAGATATAGCGAACATTTCTGTACCTGCCTCAACCATCCACACATCTGTCTATACGAGCACCACCTGTTAACTAGTTTTAAAAATTCACAAACAAAAAATGATTCAGTTCACAACGTTTATTAAGATGGTGTTGCAAAAGACGCAAAAATTGGTGAGCTATACAAATATTTGAAATAAAATAAATTTATATGTATTAAATAATGTTACGGATTTCACAGAGCCGCCTACGCTCCCTGGGCATTGTCACGGTGGGCGCCACGGCCCTCTATATGGGCCTAACGGCTTACCACAATCAGGATCAACTATTTCGCACATTTGTCATGCCTGCAGTGCGTCTGCTGCCGGCCGAGACGAGCCATAATTTGGCGGTGTTGGCGTGCAAGTACCGTCTCTACCCGGCCACCGACTACACGGACGATCTCAATTTGCACAGCTCGTTCTTTGGTCGCCTCGCTAGCAATCCCATTGGCATAGCAGCCGGATTCGATAAGAACGGTGAAGCTGTGCTGGGTCTGAAGGATTTGGGCTTTGGCTTCATTGAGGTGGGCAGTGTGACACCCCTGGCCCAGGCGGGCAATCCAAAGCCGCGAGTCTTTCGGTTGGTCAGCGACCGGGCCCTAATCAACCGTTATGGCTTCAATAGCGATGGCCACGAGGTGGTGGCGCAGCGCTTAAAGGAAATTCGTGAACGAGAGGACTTCAATGCCATTGTGGGCGTTAATCTAGGCCGCAATCGTGACACACTGACTCCAATTAGTGACTATGTAAAGGGTGTCCACACATTTGGACCTGTCGCCGACTATCTGGTTGTGAATGTCAGCAGTCCCAATACGAAGGGACTGCGCAACATGCAGAGTAAAAAGGAGCTCACCGAACTGCTGGAAGCAGTCAATATAGCTCGTGGCAAGCTCAAGACGAACCAGAAAGTGCCTATTCTGCTGAAGCTATCGCCCGATTTGGAAACGGGCGAATTGAATGACATTGTCGCAGTCATCAACCAGAAGAAATGCCGCGTGGATGGTCTCATTGTGTCCAATACCACCGTCGCGCGCGACAATATCAGCGACCTGGCATTGGCCAGCGAGGCGGGCGGTTTGAGTGGAGAACCGCTGCGGGAACGCTCGACCAGGCTGATCGCCCAGATGTACTCATTGACCAAGGGCAGCCTGCCCATCATAGGCGTGGGTGGTGTTGCATCCGGTCAGCATGCCTTTGAGAAAATTGAGGCTGGCGCCTCGTTTGTTCAAATCTACACAGCACTTATATACGAGGGCCCTGAACTGGTAGAACGCATTAAGGGGGAGCTCTCATTGCGGATCAGCGAATTGGGCTACACGTGCGTCAAGGACGCTGTAGGTTCCAACTACACCAAATATCTGCCCTCATCCAAGTAATAAAATTGTGTGTATATTTTGATTACAATGCGTTATTTCACTAAAGCTATGTATGCTCGTTGGCTCGCTGCACGTTGAGCACGCGTCCCTCTAGTAGATGTGTGTTCTGGTTGCTGGCACTGTTGTAGGCGTCTCGCTGGCTGAACATCACAAAGCCGTAGTACTTGGACAGGCCCAGATTTTTGTCGAAGATCACCTCGGCATTGGCCACATGGCCGAAACGGGAGAAGTATGTGCGCAGTTCCTTACTGCTGATAGTCCAGGGTAGATTGCCCACAAAGAGTTTGTAGCTGCTCCGCGCCGTACTGCCGGACATGGTTTATATTGTATTTTTACGTAATTTTACTAAGTCTCAAATTGTTTTGTTTACTACGACAACAATGTTGAAAGACTAACAGTCTGCGGCTCTGTTCTTAACAGCGAGCATAACTTTATTCCTGGAAAAAATTACCTTTATTTCTACTTCAGTTGCTTGAGAAAAAAGCTATATTTTTTGTTTTTATCATAGAGTGCAATTGATATATACTTGTACTGGTTCTTTTTAAGTAAACGGCCAAATCGTTCGAGTTTAACAGGGAAAAATACAATGTGACCGTATATTTAACAAAGTTAAATTGCACAGACCGGTTTTGGTATTTTCGGTATTTTGAGTCGGCATTTTCAGTCCTATCAGATACGGTCACACTGCATATTTTGTTGCATTGCTGACTTTATTGTTTTTTTTTAGACTATTTTTATGTAAAACGAAAGTGTGAAAATGCAAAGAGCATAGATGTGCACGGGACAATTAACCAAATAGTTGAGCTGCGTACTCAAGTGTTACTACGCAACCAATCGGCGTGCGGTTATGGTGTGTTATATGCTTCGCCAGTAGTTTTCGCTGCGAAAATATTTTCGGCGCCCCCTTAAGCGACGTGTATTTGGGGCGCGGCGCCCAACAGAAAAGAACAAAACGACGGGCACAAAGCGACACTCGTACTAAAATTGCCAGCAAGATCAGCGCCAGGCGTACACAATGGCAGAAAGGCCCAAAAATTTGTTTGCAAGTGAGTAATTTTTTGGATAAAACTGCCCACGCACACGTACACGTACCCACGCACACACATACATATGTGTGTTTCACATATGCATACACACGCCATACACACACACACAAGCACATGCACGTAGTACTGACGCATTTGGCCGCAATGCAATTGATAAGCCGTAGATCATAAATAACCATTTTCACACTATCTAAATTCTAACCCATACAGCTGGACCGAGCCGTTCTCGCATACCGCCTGATCAGCTTAATCTGAACAATCTGAGCATACGACATCCGCCTTCATCAACGTCGTCCACATCGTCGGGCTCCACGTCGTCGGGCTCAAGTTCCTCATCGCAGCAGAATAATGTGGCTTTACGCTTTGGTGCCCAGCCCAGCTTTGTGCCAGCTGTGCCGGTGCCCACCAGCAGCAGCAGCAGCAGCAATAGTAATGCCAGCGCCGGCGCCAGCGGCAGCGCCACGGATCGTCATAGGGAGCGCATCCGACAGCAGGCATGCGGCAAACTACAGTTTGGTGAAGGTGCCATCAATACACATCAGTTCACATCGGACGATTTGGAAGATTTGGGCGAGATTGGACGCGGTGCATTTGGTGCGGTCAACAAAATGATATTCAAGAAGTTGGACAAGGTGATGGCTGTGAAGCGCATACGCTCCACGGTGGATGAGAAGGAGCAGAAACAGTTGCTCATGGATTTGGAGGTGGTCATGAAGTCGAACGAATGCATCTACATTGTCCAGTTCTATGGGGCGCTCTTCAAGGAGGGCGACTGTTGGATATGCATGGAGCTAATGGACACCTCGCTGGACAAGTTCTATAAATACATATTTGAGAAGAAGCAGCGGCATATACCCGAATCCATACTCGCCAAGATCACGGTGGCCACAGTCAATGCGCTTAACTATTTGAAGGAGGAGCTCAAGATAATACATCGCGATGTTAAGCCAAGCAACATTCTGTTGCACAGACGCGGCGACATTAAACTATGTGATTTTGGCATCTCCGGACAGCTAGTCGATTCGATAGCCAAGACCAAAGATGCGGGCTGCAGGCCCTACATGGCGGTAGATTTTTATGCAACTGTCTGCTGTTTGAATAAGTATAAATGTTTAACCTTTTGCAGCCGGAACGCATTGATCCGGAGCGCGCCAAGGGCTATGATGTGCGCAGCGATGTTTGGTCATTAGGCATAACATTAATGGAGGTGGCCACAGGCACATTTCCCTATCGCAAATGGGATTCGGTATTTGAGCAGCTGTGCCAGGTAAGAGTTTGTCATTGCAAATGGGTTAAATGCTCGACATACACAACTTATCTTGCAGGTTGTGCAGGGTGATCCGCCGCGCTTGCATACATCCTATAATGGCATTGAGTTCTCCATGGAGTTCGCAGAGTTTGTCAATACTTGGTAAGAGTTTTTCAGTTACTCAGCAAATGAAAAAATGTATATTTACTTATAAATACCCGCAGCCTGATCAAGAAGGAGAGCGATAGGCCCAAATATAGCCGACTGCTGCAGATGCCATTCATACGGAGGGGCGAGAACAGCCACACGGATGTCGCCGCTTATGTGGCCGATGTACTCGAGTCCATGGAGAGCGATGGCATTACGCAGTTTACAACCAACCAGCCCGCGGAAAGTTAATCTGAAGAGCGAGTCCAACTAAAGTCATAAATTAACTAAGCAAAAAAACAGTAACAACAAAACGCAAACTATTCAAAAACAAAACAAAAAAAAAACCCAAAAAAAATGAAAGCAAAACATAAAACAAAAATTGTTGTCTACTTTGTAGCATTCGTAGTAAACGTAGCGCGTATTTTGTTAAAGCAAAAACAAAAAGCAACAGTGTGAGTATAAGCAAAAAAAAAAAAAAAAAATAAGATAAAACAATTTGTAAAATGCGTATAAAATGTTTATTTTGGTGTTGTAGTGAAACATAAACTAATGCCTTTTTTGTAAGTTAAGTGAGCTAGCATTTGAAATTTATGGCTTTTGTTTATAGTTGTTAACTGCAACCTGGATAAATTAAAAGCAATATTTGTAAAATTTGTACACGCCAATAAAACAAAAACTGTTAACTAAAGCAAACTACGAAATAGCCATAAACAATAAGTAAATACAACATTCAATATGATTTATATTTAGTTTATCCGTAAATATTCTATAAACGTTTGTTTTGCATATGAAAGTTAAGTAAAAAGCTTTAAACATTTGCCAAGTGGCTGCATTTTTTTTAAATTGTAGAAAAATTATGAAAATCAACACAAAATTAATCCAATAATATATAATTATAATAATTAAAAACAAAAAATTAACACACACACACACACATACACTGACACTGACAACTACACACGTTATTATGCGTAGTATTTAGCTTGTAAGACCTAAAAATATTTATAAAAAATACACAATTGCAGCTTGTGAAAATAAACAAAAGTAAGCAAAATAAAATAAATGTATTGTGCCTAAGTATAAAAAAATGACGATATCAACTAAAATCATAAATAATTAAATAATTTAATAATGTAAAACGCGTCAGTTAGTTTATATAGAATACCTTAGCCAAGCTTACACACACACACACACACACACACACACCCACACACACACACAACACATGTAGACACAGCTACGCTTATAAACATGGCCATGCCACACCCCTTTCGACACACACACACACACACACAAGCAATTGCACCGTCTAAGCTCCCGTCTCAAAAATATATTGCCAATGTCTTTTCGATTAATATTTATGCAAGCGCCAATGTGAAAGCAAAAGCAAAGTTTATTTTGTATACATATACATAAATATATATATATAAATATATATACATATATAAATAAATATATATATATGTATATATATAATAATAATATAAATATGCATATAAAGTGTAAAAAACCAACAACTCAACACACACACACACATACACGCACACACAAAGCTGCACACTGCTGCAAACTGCGTCCAAAATGCATAATACACCTTTGTATGCCCACAGCGTATTATTCATACGTATTTATTTGCTTTTGTTTTCATTTGATTTTTTTTTCGCCTAGCATTACGCATATAATGAATGCATATTAAGCGCTAAGCCTCAAAGCAACAACAACAACACCATAAACTAGCCGCATAATTGAATAATAAAACAAAAATATTTTTGTAATAAGCATAAAAAACAAACAACAAATGTTTGGCAATTAAAATTGCTCTAGCATAAAATATTATAAAATACATATATGTATACATAATTATGGCCGGGAGTGTATGTATGTAGTGGAAGCTAGTCGGCTAGTCTAAGCCTGTATACCCTTGCGAAGATAAGATCGTTTAGCAAAGGTTTCCCCCTGAATGGCATACAATACGAATTTGATCTCAAGTGGATTTTAATGGATTTAAGCTGATCTTGTAACTGTATTCGAAAGCATCTGATGTATTTATTAGTTAAGCCCATAGATTGTTCGAATCTGTGAGGGTGTTCGAACCATCCAATTGCAAGTCTTTTAGCAGAACTGTTTCAATGTCAGGATCGTACTAAGAACACTTAGCAAGGGTATAAATTGTAATTGCAATTTGTGTAAAGTTTCTAACAGATATAATTACAGTAATATATATGCTAAAGTACTCGTAATACCCCCTCCCCGCCGTAGAACCCTAGATGCTAACCCCCCTCCATTAAAGTAAAACTAACAAAATTGAGTCAGAACTAAGGCAGTGCAATCGTTGAGTCGCGAGTCGTCATATTTTTTGACAATAAAACGTGTAAAAAGTTTGTAAACAAATGCAGTAAGCAAAGGCAGAAGTTGTTTAGGCGTATGTGATGTGTATATAGGCATATACTACAGATACGAGAGCGGATAAACATAATTAGTAGCATATTAAAAATAAATATCTATCTTACTATACTATAATATTGTAACTGCAATTCAGATAGAGTAGTCAAAGCAAAAGAATAGGCATATGCTAAAGCCAAAGCAAAACAGAATCCAATAATCCCTTTGCCTTTTAAACTAGCAACTTGCTTATAGAAAGTGAAAAATGAATGAAATGAGAACTTAAAGTGAAAACGCAACGTCCATAAAAAAACAAAGGAAAATATTCGCAGAACTTTTTAAACACAAACTTAGCTTATCCGTAAAGCCAGCATGGGCCAGCCAAGGAGTTAAGCGAACCTCGATATAGTGCGATATCCTAAGTGCAGAGATTGCTAAAAAAAGAAATACAGGGGAATTTCTGGCCTTGAAGAGTTATTTTTGCGCACTGTACTTAGTTTAAGCAAAGCTACTAACTAACTATACAAAAATAACCGGCTTCTACTAAATCTCCTCTCTTAACTCTATCAACTTGAGGACAAGAGCAAAAAAGTAAAAAAAAAAAACCAAAAATAATGTGAAAAGAAAACACCACAAAAAATTTAATAATAATTAAAGCCTAAAATAATGGTAAAGAAATTATGGTATGGAAAACAAATTAAATTGTTAAACTTAACTTGAAGAATTTGTAAAAAGCAACAAATGAATAGTGAATAAATAATATATTTGAAAAACTCTACACAGCCATTGGCCCATAATACTTGACACCCATTTCGAAACTAGCTACCTCGTAGTGCCCATCGAACCAATAATTAACCAATTACTAAATCAAAATCAGCTCATAACATGCTATGCCAAAGTAATTCGTTACACCCTACACAAGTTCCGATGCTTACAAGTCGAGGCATATTGACTTTGCGGGTAAGTTGGACCACGAATTCCCAACTTTTTTTTTAGCTGTAAGAGGATTTGGCCACGCAGCTTTATTATTCTTTCGAATAATCTTACAACTCTTATTAGTGGAATATTTTTGGGTACCTCGGCAAGGGTATTATATTGTTAAACTCAAAAAAGAAAATATCTTAACCAAAACAAGTAAGAGGTTCTAGTCGGGAGCTCCCGACTAGGCGATACCCTGAACCCTCTTCTTCCAACATCAAATGCAAATATATATTCTATTTTAGAAGCTATATGTCAAGTTTGGTGACTCTAGCTCTTATTATTTACCAAAATTGCCCAAAAAACAGGATATCGATATCGATTTTTATCGATTACTTGGAAACGGAGTAAGTTATCGATTAACGGAAATAAACTCAATCTGCGCGGGAACTGGGAGCACCTATATCTAAAATTTCAAGTCTCTAGCTCTTATAAGTTCTGAAATCCTTGCGTTCATCCATACGGACGGACGGACGGACGGACGGACAGACAGACGGACATGGCTAGATCGACTCGGCTATTGATGCTGATCAAGAATATAGAATATTAGTTATTAAAGGAATATTTTGTGGATACCTTGGTTAGGGTGTAACCAAATTCAAAAATTCAAAAGTCAGTTTATCTCATTCAAACCCCATTGCCATGTTGCATATATCCCGTAAAAATTGAATCATCTACCATTTAAAGTTTTTTAGTTCTTGAGTTATTTCTTGAGTTCTTGAGATATATTCGTGTAGTTTAAAACCAAATACAATCTAAATATCCAGCTGACAGGCATCGTAATTATACATTATTCCTTTAAAATGAATTCCCTTTATTAAATTGAATCCTTTTTTAATTTTGGCACTTAACTCAATCGTATAACAATTACAAATAGAAGTGTCTATAGCAAAAATTAGATATATCCAATGGGATTTTATATAATTTTCAAGGTTAATCGTAATTGCATATCCATTTCAAATAATCTAAGCAATATTAATAGAATCAAATTCAAATTTTAGTTCGAAGAGCAAGTCATTTGATTCACTTGATTTATTTGTAAGTTATTTCCAAATATTCATTTACAGCTGGACCCTTAAGTCTCCAATGGGATTTTATATAAGAATTTCACTTTATCCATTTGTAAGTTTGATTCACTTGACTCATTTGTTCAGATATATCAAATGGGGTTTTATATTATTTTCAAAGCTAATCGCAATCATATTTCTCTAAAAAATAATTTAAAAAATTTGAATAGAATCAAATTCAAATCTTAATTCGAATACCAAGTCATTTGATTCACTTACAAATGAAGTTATTTGCAAATATTAATTTTCAGCTGGACCCTTAAGTATAGTTATATTTCTTATTATTCGTAAAGTAATATTTAAAATAATATGTAATTCAAATACCAAAATAAGCAATTTTTACTCACTTGATTCATTTGTAAGTTATTTGCAAATATAATGCTAAAATGTTGTTATGTTAATATTTATAATATTACTTTCAGATAATGAAACTATTATCGATGCAATATTTTTCATAAAAAATCCTATCATTTACAATCGTAGTGATTCAAATGCAAGCTATTTACAAATATGAATTGTAAGCGTATTTGTGTGTTCTCAAGCCACAGACGCATGAGTTTTGTCTAGGTTTACCGGTTTCTAATATGCCTCTGGCATATTATTCAGTGGCATAATTTGTGGATGTACGCGACTGGCCTTCCAATGGATGCATTTGCGTAGAGCGTGGCACGTGGCGGGCATGTAGATTGGCGCATTACGTCGCCCAAATGCGTAATCTCCGACAACATATACAAAGCTGAATGGGCTGAGCCGGACTTGCAGGCTTCTCGCTCAGTATTATTTTGAGCGTGGCGCGCTTAACATATTTATTCGATTCAATTCGATACGATTCGATTCGATTAGGGAACTCTTACCAGTTCAACGACATGCTGGCCTGCATCATTCTGGCCAGCTGGCTGACTTTGTTGTGGTTATATTTTCTGTGGAGCCGCAGACGCTACTACCGGGCCGCCTGGCAGCTGCCTGGCCCCGTGGGCTGGCCCTTCATTGGCATGGGCCTGCAAATGATGAATCCGCAGAGTAAGTGCGCTGGAAATCTAGGCCAACTGAAAATAATTTTCGCCTGCAGCCTTTTTGCAGTATATGGATGGGCTTTCGCACAAGTATAAGGCGCCCTTCATCTCCTGGATGGGCACCAATTGTTTCCTTTATGTCAACGACCCACAAACCGTGGAGCAAATCTTCAATTCAACGCACTGCACCAACAAGGGAGATTTCTATCGCTTCATGAGCGCGGCCATTGGCGATGGACTCTTCACATCCAGCTGTAAGTACACTCAGAGAAAAGGGGTTTATCCAAATGACTGGCAAGGAGCTGATAAGGTATTTTTCTTACGTTCTGAAATATTCTTAAATTCCGTACAACTC